ATTCCTCGGCGCAAGCTCGCTACAAGCATGATCCGGAGCTTTACGACTCGATCGCACGTCAAGGAAGCAAGGTCCTGTACTTTGCCAAGTCGCTCAACGAGAACGAAACATGGGTGCCTCTGATCGAAAAGGCTTTTGCAAAGTTCTATGGCAACTATTCATACATCAACTGGGGCACTGCGATGGAAGCTGTCGAAGACTTGACAGGAGGAACGAGCACCGTATTCATGCTCAAAGACCACCTCAACAAAGCCAAACTCTGGGAGGGACTTGTACGAAAGGACCAACGGGATAAGCTATACGCCGTCAGCTACCTCCAGACATCCAAAACGAAAACATACCAAGGACTTTATCTTTCACACGCTTACTCTGTGCTGAGGGCGGCAGAGTACAATGGCAAAAAGTTTGTCGTCATTCGGAATCCTTGGGGAAATACTGAATGGAAAGGCGCTTGGGGTGATGGTTCGAAGGAGTGGACCAAGGAGTGGTTACCCGCACTTGACGTATTGGAACACTCGTTCGGAGACGATGGTCAATTCGTAATGGAGTGTACGTACAGTCTATCAATCGCTATGGGGTGATTGATTCATCCCTTTCAGTCTCGGACTTTATGAAGCAGTGGCGATACCTTGACAGCACCCGACTATTTGATTCTAACTGGGTCGTGTCGAACCTTTGGGTAGCGATGAACGGACTCAGTCTGAACCACCCATGGACATGGGGAGATGTATCCTGTAAGGACTTCAAACTTTGTGCTAGAATGGAGTACTAACTTTTCCTTTTAGTCACTATTCATGTTGATGATTTTACACCTGCAGTCATCGTCTTGCAGCAACTAGACCGTCGCTCATTCCGAGAGATATCGAGCACTATCAAATATGACTTTGACTTTGTCGTCTTCAAGAAAGGCTCAAAGAGGGTGTACGCCAAGTCAGCATACAATTTCTTTGGAAACCGCAGTAGGAATGCGGAGGTGGACCTAGAACCTGGCGACTATGTCGTGCACGTAGGTGAATCCATACAGAGCTGGAATCTTCTCTCCTGACTTTTGAATGCTCTAGGTACGCATTGACTCGAAGAGTAATGGCGTAAGCATGCTCTTCCCTTCTGAATGGCCTGTGTCTCAATAATTTTCAGGACTACCTCAACGAATCTCTCGAAAGTAAGGATAGTAGGCGCCTCAAGCGGATAATGTCAAGAAAGATCGCAGCATATTCTAAAGCGATCAGTGAGTGTCCATTCAAATTACGATAACCACCACTCTAACTTGATATCTCAGACTTCGTCGGAAAGTACGTCGGTATAATGAAAATACACGATTACTCGTCTAACATTCCTTAGGGATATCGACACCAAGGTCCCAATCGATCTCGACGTTTTGGCCGGCGAAGACCTCAACGAAATAGAAATCAAGCTCGTCCAAACTAAACGAGAGACCACCCAGTCTCGAAAGAAATCACAAGCTGAAGCAAAGAAGTCCCACGAACAGGAGATTGCGGAAGAACGGAAGGCTAACGCTGAAGCTAAGAATAAGGAGAAGGTACCGGCTACCGATCCTACGCGCACACACAAGACTGTTAAATGCGATGTTTGTCAAATTTTCCCAATCGTTGGGACACGGTATCGATGCGCCAAGTTCGTCCATCTCCCAATCACCGTACCACCTAATTTTCTTTCTATAGCTCAGCGTGCCCGGATTTCGACATGTGTCAAGAGTGCTTTGAGAAGAAGAGCCATGATGAGACACACGAGCTCATCATCATCTCGGTACCTCGCGCGGTCGTGCACGTCGGTATCCAATGTTCGACTTGTAACCCAAAGAAGGACGTGGTTGGGTCACTCTACAAATGCATGGTGTGCGTACCTTCATTTCATTCTCGTAGCCTTGTAGTCTAACATTGTATTTAGTGAGGGATGTCCTCGACCGTATTCTTGCCATCCTTGCATGGAAAAGACCCCTCATGATGTTTCACATTCCATCCTTATGCACCCTGTACCGGTGAAGAGTGAGGAAGAAAAGAACAAGGAAGCAGGTAAGGCCACTCACAATGGCATTGGTTGCGATGGATGTGGAATGTCTCCCGTCGTGGGGACTAGATA